TACAGTGTGTGCAAAAAAAAAAAAAAATAATAATAAAATTAGTTATAAAAATTAAAAATATTTTGTGTAATACATTTTTGAATATTAAACAAACTATCATCTGAAAATAAAAGAATAAAAAAACAAAAAAGGATAGGTATAAATGCATAACCAATAAATATTAAAAATCGCTGGACACTTACTGACAGTCGCTTATAGTAATTAATATGTACAAAGGTAAGCCTGTTCATTTTGTATTACCCCTAAGTTATTAAATATTTATCAATATTGTTTACATAAAATCTGCTGCAAAAACGCCCAACGCTACATCGTAACTGAGTTTATTGCTATCTGGAATAATAAAATGACGTGATAATATATTATAAATTTTTAAAACGAGATTCTATAATTACTTGTTGGAAGCAATTCTATCAATTTCGTCTTAATGTGTTCTATATTTGGATATGTTTGTAGTTTTTCACATATCAGATTAATTTCTGCGAGGTTAAACAATTGATCGCCATCAATATCATGTTCATTAAATAGGACAATGGGCCTGCCCTGATAAATAAAAGAAATGCCAATAAATTGTTTATTACAAAATATACATTATTACAATGTACCTGTTCTGGTAATGTTTTGATAGCATCTTCTAGTATTTTATTACCTTGATACATGTTGATAACTTTTAAGCATTGTGTTTTATGTTTATGAGAAAAACTTTGAAAATTTGTAATAGTACGATCAGTAAATTTCTAATTTTACAAGAAAAAAATCACTTACCAGAGCTCCAGTAACGTAGTATAGTGAACACAACAAAACTACGATTTTATAATGAGCAATTTTATTAAATTATTAGATACTAAAATGTGAGTGTAAATCTTTTTTCTCCGTGTACTTCATATAAACGAAATGAAAACGATTTGATTCAAACTTTCATTCGTACATATTTTATACTAACGATTTCACAATAATCTGTATCAAAAATATTTGTTTTTGCTATTTGATGACTAAAAATTTTGATCTAACTCAAAAATATTTTTCATCGAAACGAGCCATTAGTTTGTGTGGTGGTGTTTTTCAAAACTATATAGTCCAAATAAATATGGTATATTGAATAACATTCATGAATCATTCAGAATCTTCCAATAATATTTTTGAACTAAAAGAAAACAATAAGAATATGAATAACAACATTAATACACAATAATATTGATACGCGAATTTTTAAATCATTTTTAATTTTAACCCCAGCCCCTTAAAAGAGCGAATTGTACTTGAAAGTTACTACATACTCAATGTATAAATGTAAAATCAATGTTGTCATCATTCATGCAATTTTCCAAAAGTAAAAACTTTATAAAATTTAAATTGAAAATATCATTCAGCCTATTTCAGCGATTGTGTTTTTTTGAATATTTTCCTCTAATTAGTAGTCGATTTGAGGGGGATTCAGAATCAAATTATTACATTAAATAATATATAGAGTAGGGTGGTCCTTAGCTATAGAGTTAAAATATTTTAGGTCATACCTCTAAAATTTGTTTAATCTATGTTTAATGTTTAATCTATGCAAAGTACGTTAGAAATGATTAACTACTTGCTTTCTAGTTGATTAAATTTGGGTACATCACTCATTGACTTAGAAATGATTAAGATTGATAATATTTAAAAAAAAAAATAATAATCTAGTTAAAAAATATATAATTTTAATTAACATATATTAATTAATTTTGAGTTACTAAACTACATATTGTTGATATAATGTAAACAAATATTAATATTTTACGAATGAAATTCAATATTTGTTAACATCTTTATTTTAAAAAATTCCGGTTCTTGTTTTTCTGAAAAATCAAAATTCATAACCTGGTTCGGGCTATAAATATTAAAAAGGTACCAATTCAAGAACTTTTTTTATGGTTCTATTCAAGTTAAAGGAGGTTTTAAACCAAATTTAGTTTTTCCTATTTACGGTTCTTATTACATTTGAATAAACTGTATCTCACATTAAATGTCATTGATTTAGGCTTGTATATTAATATTATGCATTGCGTATTACTTATCACAAAAAATAAGAATTAACAATAAGAATATTTGTTGTTGTTTTTAATATTGTGTGACACAATTTGTAACAAATACTTTAAATTTTATTTTGATAAAATATCCAAAACATTTATAAAATGTGTTATTTTCTTAGGTGTTTTCAATTCAATGAAATTATATTTTTAACTATCGAAAATGTTTGAGAATATATAACTGAAGCAATGACGATCGCAAAATAATAGCGCAACAGGTGTTTTGGTGCCACACTTGTCATTTGTTGGTAGCTAGGTTTATTTTTTTGAGTCAAAATTTGTTTAGACTTAATATCAATGTTTATATGACGTGTATATCTAAGATTCTAATGAATTTATCCTAGGCAAATGTTTAATTGAAATAATTTTTTTCAGTTAAGTGCACGTTAGATATTTTTTAAGCATTATGGATGAAATCAAGTATAAGTATGAAGTGGTAATGATTGTGTCAGGTTTATTCATGCTATTAACTATGTATGAGCTTCCAGTTAACAGTTATTTCGAAGTAATTATTAATTTTATGAAAAATGTCTATGTAGACCAGTTTATCATATATTAATATATTATGCTATAATATCCTTAAAGTATGTGTCATAATTTAATATTTTACCATAAAAAATACAAAAAATATTTTATGAGAACAAATTATCCAATTTTATAATAAAGTAAATTAAGAACGTTTTAATAAAGAAAAAAATTAATGATTATACAGTTATCAAATATATCTAGACATAGTTATTAAAAAGTAACTGTAGTTACTTTTCCATTAATTTTTTTTAAGTTAATTGGAAATTGATTAAAAACTTTATTATTGTCATAAAATACAAATATTATATTGAAATAGTCTTACGTATATTTCAGAAATTTTCAAGATGTCATAATCCAACTAACAATGCCTTTAATTTTACAAATGTAAGTATAATACTATACTTGATGATGTTTAAGATGCATGCACATTTGCTAAAATTAAACAAAAAATCTTTTTTTTTAAATTTTTTGTTTAAGCTTTAAGGATTGTAACGCAGTTGTAAACCAATACAAGCTTTACCCACCTATGCTGCATACCCATTAAATGTATTAAAATACTTGTAACTCAATATACAATGGTCATAAAATGATTATCGATCCGTTAAAAACTTTTATAAGAAAGACGTTAAAAACTGGCTATATTAAAAATTAAAAATGTATCATAATTTTTGTTTGAATTATTTTATATTTTGTAAGCAACTGCATGAGTTATAATANTCATAATTTTTGTTTGAATTATTTTATATTTTGTAAGCAACTGCATGAGTTATAATAAACGGATCATTATGTATATATTTTAATTTACATAATTATATAGGATATTATAAAGGAACGATAAAAATCAATAATAATTGTTATTTTTTATTTCTGTACTTATAGTAGTGTCGTTTACTACTTTTTTCAAGGATGTATGTGTTTAAAATAGAAAAAGTTTACATTGGTTTTATAGGACAATTTATACGTTTTTAACTGTTTACTTATGTTTTAAACAGGTATTTTAATAACAGTTTTTTTTATTCGAAAACTTTTTTTATTTATTCACAGAATTGTTCAATCATCCAGTGACGCTATGTCTACACATCCGTTAAAGTTATTTTGGCTTTTAGACATTATCGAATACTTGATGTATTTCACAACGTTTTATCTAGTTCGTAGAATTGTTTATTTATTATACTCAATATACTAATGTGTATTATACTATTATACTAAAAAAAAAGTTTTAACTATTTTTTTATGTTAATAAATGTTGATAATATATATTGTATATTTTAGTACCCAGGTATCAAATGTTAAACGAAACTTTCTTTAGGTTCAATATTTCAAACGTCTTTTTACTGTTTTAGATTCCTATATCATAAATCTTATAAAAACTTTGTCAGTTACAGATATAATACGTATATCAAGCAAAATTAAGAACTGTGTCCCTCACTTAACACAAAATATATTAATGGTAAATATATACAAAAAATATTGAACGATTACAAATATCTAAATGAGAGAAAAGTTGTCAATATTTTGGTTTCGATGCGAAGCTGGAAGGTATTAGTTTTACTATGATGTCTTTTTCTTTTTGTGCCTGTTACCATTTTTTCTCAGCTCTCACCGAACCGATTTCTTTCAATAATACGTCAAATGATCACAAATCGTATCTAATTGAAAATATTACTCTCGAAAATTCCAAAAAGGTTACGTATATAAAAATCGCTAATTTTAAAAATTTTTTACTTAAAACTTCCATACATTTTTCAAAAATGAACAAATCAATATCATTTTTTTTTTATAGATGCTTGATGTCTTTACCTATAATTTGGTATATTTTTTTTATAAATTTAACCCTTTACCAGCCCACAGGGTGGATTCAAAATAACAACTTTTTCACAAAAATTAAGTTTTTCAACTTAACTTTTGAAAGTGTTCCGGAAGGTCTGACACTTTTATATACAGGGTGTTAAGTAAGTCAGGAAACGGGTTTCTATTGTTCGCATTGTTACAAACAATGAGAACAACAGAAACCCGTTTCCTGACTTACTGAACACCCTGTATATCTTAAATTAAAGCTTATGTAATATACTTTATTATGAAAAAAAAAAATTGACCTCTGGACCTGTCTTCGTGGTGAAAATGGCTACCGAATGCAATTTTTGTATGATAATTCTCGATTTTATTTTTTACATTTTAGCTTCAATGCGAAGCTGAGAAGGTATTGGTTTTACTATGAAGTGTTTTTTTTTTAATAATCCCTTTTTCATTCGACATACTTAATCTTAATCAAGATGTTCATAAGGAACTAGCAGATCATGTAGCTTTTGGAATAATCCACCAATTTTTTTAAAATTAAACACAACCTAAAGATTTGCATCGAAGCGTTTTTTTTTGGTAGTGATTTTAATCACTGTCAGATATCATTATACTTGATCTAACTATGTCACGTCACCACTGTGCCGGGGTTTTTTTTTATAGATGCTTGATGTCTTTACCTATCATTTGGTATATTTTTTTTATAAATCTGACTTTTTACCTGCCCACAGGGGGGATTTAAAATTACAACTTCTTCACAAAAAATTTACTTTTTCAACTTAACTTTTGAAAATGTTCCGAAAGGTCTGACACTTTTATATATATCTTAAATTAAAGCTAATGTAATATACTTTATTATGGAAAAAAAAAATTTCGGACTTTATTTTATCTTCACGGTGAAAATGGCTACCGAATGCTATTATTATGTGAAAATTCTTGACTTTATTTTTTACATTTTTAATTTTATAATGGTATGACATATTGAAAAGTGTATGGATCATCACAATTTTTTTATGAGAAATAATATTTTTTAATAATCCCTTTTTCATTCGTCATACTTTATCTTAATCAGGATATTAATAAGGAACTAGCAGATCATGTAGCTTTTGGAATAATACACCAATTTTTTAAAATTAAACACTTTAAAGATTAGCATCGAAGCGTTTTTTTTTTTGATAGTGATTATAATTACTGTCAGATATCATTATACTTGATCCAACTATGCCACGTCACCACTGTGCCGCGACCCCCATGTGCTGGGTTTTTAACTTTATAATGCTATAACTTTGTAAGAAAATGAAATATATGTTATCATTAAAAAAATTATAATGATAGATTTTCAGTATGTAAAAGTGGGATCAAAATAAATATTTTAGCTTTGATAGAAAGCTGAGAAATTATTATTAAGTTAATAGGGTACTTCAATTTCCAAAAGAAATATGTTTTTATTTCAAAATATTGTTTGAAACAGTAAAAAAATCA